TCTCCCTTCTTGCCTATGACTAACAGGTTTGGTTGCGCCACTGAGCAAATACGCTGGCTGGGGAGTGCAATGTATACTGTATGCATATAAGCGGCTGGCTGAGACTCTGCTCGCACCGGTTTAGGCCGGTCCTCTCCTGCTTGAATCTAGTCTGTGATTGACAGCTCAGCAGTTGTTTACCACAGCGCGGCGGCGGGAGCTGCTGCTGCTGCTCCTACTGCTGAGGCTGAAGGGAAACTGCTGAGCTGGCAGAAAGGAAGGGGGGTGGAAGGGAAACCTTTTCTTTAAAATAAAATGGTTCAGCATTCCAACGTGAAATTTATTTTTAATAAACTGTACACAACCCAGACTTTCGTTCAGTAGTGGTTTCAGGGTTTGGTTTTATTTCTAAATCGTCTTTTCTTTAAAATAATGGCGTAAAAGGTCCAGATGCTGAGGGGCAGGATAAATCTTACCTCACAATTAGATGTGGGCCACTCCGGCTATCAGATTTTGGGGAGAAAGGCGAGCAGGTGGCCCTTTGTGATGGAAGGGGTGGTTTACAAAAGGTGACCTCATTGCCTTGTGCCCTTCATGGGTGCTGGAAGACACGCCCTGCATACTTCCACACCTAAGATCTGCCCTGAAATTTTGAGGACTCTGTTTTATTTCTAGTGGTGTTTGGTCCGAGCCTTTTAGGCTCTGGGAGACAGTGGGTACATGTTGGGGAGTGGTAGGACAGAGGACATTGCAGATACTGGTCGGCAGGGCAATGGGTATCTAACCAAGTTGGGTATAGGCAAGTAATTAAAAGACACAATTACAAGGTGGGGGAGAGGCGTCGGCCCCAGCATCATCACAAAAGCGATTGTTTTTTTCTAATCCAGTATTAATCCATTGACTGGAGAATGCCAACTGAGGCCAGTGAAGAGACCAGGATCATAACTTCACAGACCTCCTCTGATGGATATTTAACTGTCAAGAACCATTAGAAAAAGAAGAAAGATCTCTCTTCAAAACAATCTTAGATTTTCTTCTCCATCAAGACAGGAAAAAAACTTCTGAAATATTTGTAATTATAGAGTTTCAAAGTTTGTCACATTTTGATGCTCTCAAAGTGTAATTTCAAAGGCGAGTTGTATGCTGCAGTATGTGCTCATCAGTAGCATTGCCTCTAAAACACTGCTTGAAAATAGGAGATTGGAATTACTAGGACTTTGGCTAAGTAAAAAGTATAAGATCAGTAGAGTTTGTTGTGCCATCTAAACATTAAAAACGTCCTTCAAAAATGGATCTAATCAGGATTGTGCTAATGCTGCTTTAAAAAGTCAAATAATCAAAATGGAACCCCACTGAAGTAAGGCAACCCCACCCCCATAGTTTATGTCTGCATTTAGACATTAGGAAAGGCTGTGGAAGAAGGAAATGAGGAATGATTAGCAGGGATTAGTATTACTACTGCTGAATTTCACTTTTAAATTTAAAGGTACACCAAGAATGATTAATGTATTCAAGCTAAAAGTTATCCTAGGAATTAGTCACAGACCAGTCATTGGAATAAAAAGCCCTTAAGATCAGTGGAGATAGCCCAAGTGAGGGCGTGGTTTGCAATTTTGTTTCTTCCTTTTCTAATTTCAGTTAGTTGAAATTATGTGATCATAATGTCATATGTATACAACATTTTCAGATAAAATAACATTGGGTTTTTTACTCCTAGATGATGATAATTCCGAAGAAGGCCTCCACATAATTCATTCAGGACGGCACGAATATGCATTCAGTTTTGAGCTTCCACAGACGTAAGTATTTTCCAGCTGTGTGAGAAGACTGAGCAGCAGATCTGTAAACAGTTGTGTATGAAAATACAGCCAGGGAAAGAAAAAACCCTTTTCAATGGTCACAAGGATTGCACTAGAATATGCTACAAGGACATTGTCCATAGTAAACACCTGCAAAGTTGCTGTGACTCAAAGTGGAAAAATCTGAAGTAACTAATCCCTTTCGGTCAACATTTCCTTTTGAAACCTGTTGCACATCCAGAATCTTTCACTTCCTCAGCCCATGTCATCTCTTTTACTAGTTACTAATGGGGTAGAGGTTTGATCATTATTCATTTCAGAGGTTCTGGCATGACTTCTTGTTTAATTTAATGGTGAGCAAAGTTGGCTGTTTCAGCTGAACATGTTGAAACATCTATCAGGAAGACATAAATCAGAATAAAATAAGGTAGAGTGAGTACTAGAAAAATGGTAAATGAAGACTATAGGTTTGTATCTGTAAGGTAGACGAAGAATTAGGCAATGGGCGAGAGGAGAAGAAATGCTTAAGTCAAAGGAAGGTGAACCTTTAAAACACAGGATAGATGTTTCTGAAAAACAGGACCTGTGTAGCACTTCTCAAAATATGTTGATAATATATTGTAAAAAAAAGATGAGGCAGTGGGACCAACATGTAGAAAATAATTTAAACATAAGATTAATTATGTGCTTCAGTGTCACATATTTAAAGCTTATAGCAAACATTATTTTGAGTATCTGCATTTTTTTAGTCTATAGCATTTGCAGGTGCTGAGCAAGACGTGGAGTTATTTCTCAAAGAGGTAGCCTGGTAGAATTTACTATTACCCTAGATGTAACAGTAATATTTTTGAAAACCTGTCTTTACTGGGTCTGATATAGCAGAAATTATGTTAACTAATTATTTACTGCTTAAACAGAACAGAAATATCAACCAGAGGTACTTGTTATTTCCTTCAAGGTGTGAAAAAAATGCAAGAAAAGATTGGATTAACCCATTGTATGTTACAGAACTGGGAATGCAATACCTGTTAATAGGTATCAAAACCATTCCCTCAGTTTCTAACAGATTTTTAAAAAGGAAAAAAGAGCCTGCTCCTTGGAAGCATAACGAGGTGTTTGGACAATTGATTGAACATAACTGCTCTTTCACAACACATGGAGTGTGGAAGTCCTTGTAATTTTAAATCGGGAATTTTAGGACATTCTTGGAATTAAAGAAGATTTTATCCCACCTTAAATAAAATTCTGTTTGTTTTCAGTAAAAGACTAAAGTACAGAAAAGGCTATTTGTTTAATGGTTCCGAAAAATAGTTTCCTTTGAGATAAACAATAAGAAAGGAGTTAGATAAAATAACATTATCTATTTAAACTCTTTTCTTGAAGCTATGAACAAGGGAAGTACTTAGAAACAGCCAGGCACTGTATGAATTAAAGGAATATCCCCTATGGATGTTGGCTCTGACCATGAAAACATCTGTTGAACAGTTAGCATAAAACTGTTCAGATAAGATGTGGTGCTCCAGGGAAGCCAGTTATTTCAAATAAATATGTTGACCTCATTGTAATGTTTCATGTTTTCCCTGTTCCACAGATATTAAAAAGTGACCCTTTGTAACAACGAGGAATCTTTTTGTCTGCTCCCCAGTGTAGTTAAACTGGAGTGCTTGAAGCTGAGCAGGTTTAATTCTCACTCAACTCAGTGGGACTAAATCAAGAAAACCTACATACTTCAGCTTGACTGGGTTGTGGGCTGGATTAATGTCTCTTGTAGCATATAATGGTGCAATTTCTGGTACAAATTTGGTTATACTTTTATAGATCTACTGAGCAAATTAATTGTAACTACAGAGATATTTCTCCCAAACTAATTGATCACAAAAATCCTATAAACAAATTATTTTTAATTGCATACTATGATGCATTAACAGTACAGACCAAGTAATTACTACCTGGAATGAGTGTATACTTACATTAAGGAAAAAACAGATAAAGATTTATTCAGTTTTGACCTTTGTGTCCTGAACAGACCACTTGCTACCTCATTTGAAGGCAGACATGGCAGTGTGCGCTATTGGGTGAAAGCAGAATTGCACAGGCCTTGGCTTCTACCAGTAAAATTAAAGAAGGAATTTACAGTCTTTGAACATATAGATATCAACACTCCTTCATTACTGGTAAGAATGGATAGAATTACTCATTTTTTGTTTTTGCCATTCAAAATAGTAGTATATAGACTCTGGAATATCAAAATATTTAACAGTAATGAAGTACGTTGAAATAAATAAAGCATAAGGATATGATGACCCAACAACCCATAAGAGGTCCATTTTGTATAATAATCTAAAGAATATTGTTAAGCTGCGTCTTTTTAAAAATAATACGTTTCAAACTGTTCTAGTAAAGATTAACTTACTAGTGTGCAGAACAGTTTTAGCCTTGTAAAAAAGTTCGGCATAAGAACTTTGCAGCTTGAAGCAATGTAAAAAAATTGTACTGCAGTGCATTATTTCTTATTATGCTACTAATAATTTATGTATCAAGTGGGGAGAAATGATCATACTTCTGTATGTTATCATATAAAATTATTTTAAAGCTAATAATGACTTAATAAGATTCTCAATCTGACCTAAAAAAAGACAAAAACACAATTATATGTACTTGCTTTTTAAATTAAAATAAAAATGTGAAAATGGAACATGTAAAGAAAAGTCCATTGAAACAGGGTTCTTTTGCTTATCTTTAAAAATCATATTATTTGGGATTATAGAGGACCTCATCTGAAACTCACAAAACCCTACAGGAATGTTTACACTAAACTTTGTGAGTTTGAGACAAGGCCCTTTTAGTACAATGGCAAGGACATTGCTTGGATACCATCCTAACCAAGGGTGGGCAATCTCAGATTTTGAAAAGTGTAGGCAGGGACAAGAATATTTTGAAACAAAGCGCTAGTGTTCAGGAATAGGGACCATTTAGAACATAGTACAACAGGACACGCAATGAGTTAGCAGTAGAATAAAAAAAAATCAAGCATTTCGCCAGCTATGATTCTTACGTGAACGGAAGTTCAGTTGTAATGGATACAAATTTAATTTTAAAAAACTCATCTGTTTTTGCCTTTACTATAATGGCAATAAAGCCACAATCATGAAAACACTTAGAATGTAAATCAAATACATGGTTTTGCCAGCTAAAATGATGGTGCATTTATAAATAAAATGTATTTGAGAGAAAATTATATTTACGTATCCCAATAAATATATTCCCAAATATTTAGTGTTTAAACCAGTTGGATAGTCATTAACCTGAAAGGAATGTTCACTGATTTTAGTAAGGCTTATTCCCAGATATGAATAGTTTTAGAGTGAAACTGATCAAAATCCCAGAACATACTCAGAATGTCCTGTGTAGAACTGTACATTTGTTTTGCAGGGCATAACACCAAAACTTTTAGCTCACCTAGATTATAGATTTATGCCTCACAGTAGAATCTATTGCTGTTTTTCCATTATAAGGCTCTACTCAGGAGGCAGATTTGAGGGGAAATCTCATTGAAGTCAATTTTCATGTCTAATACATGAAATTAAAAATGTGCTTCATAAGGTTAGAGTAATCAATTCCGTTACCTTCAAAAGGAGACCATTTAATTACAGATCAGACTTTTAGTATTACTTGCTCAATAATATCTGTACAGACTGGCAGTAGCATTCCAGAGTTCCATATTAGACTTTTTTCCAGCTGTGCCTGGAGATGTCTGGTATTGAGCCTGAATCATGTTGCATGCAGAACATATGTTCTGTCGTTAGCTATTTCCCTGTCCCTTTCCTAACCATCAAAGACATTTAGACAACCAAAGCATAAGTACTATAGTCTGTGCATTCCTCTTACTATTGGAGCAGAATTAATAATAAACTTAGCCAGACTATTAATTGCTGTTGTAGCTGCTGCATATGAGAGAGAATATATCATTGGTAGATGGCATTAGGATGCTTCCAGATGTTGTCTTTCTGCTGCAGTTGTAGCAGTAACCAGCATGGTGACATAATGGCCAGATAATCAATTCAGTCCAATCCTGTTCTAATCACTTCTGGTCCAGAAGTACTAACAGGATCAGCAAGTGGGGGATCAACCGTCACTGATGAAAATCCCATGATAGGAGACATAGTTTTATTAGGTTCTTCTTGTTTTCCGTCCAGGTGTGTAGTTAACCCTCTTTCAAAAGCTGCTATCTGAAAGCAACCCTAGGCTGTAGAGTATTATTATTTTTACAGAGTTTAATTTTAATTGTGATTTTTTTCCCTTTCAGTCACCCCAAGCAGGCACAAAAGAAAAGACTCTCTGTTGCTGGTTTTGTACCTCAGGCCCAATATCCTTAAGTGCCAAAATTGAAAGGAAGGGCTATACCCCAGGTATGTGGACATTAATTCTTATGGAAGCTGTGTGTGTGTTAACAATATACAGGGATGGATCTACTGTGACTCTAATAAAGCTTATAGGGGGACCCATAACAGTTCAAGATTCAGAGCCTAAAAAATGTAGGTCCACTACCAACAATATAAGATAGTCCTATGAACTTTAAATAACACCATGTCCTGGTTAACAGGAGAGCTATATTTTAATAGTAAATATGGATTATTGACAGGCTACATTAAATGTAAGCTCCACAGATATACCACACTCCTGATCCCTTGAACCAGGTGTGAGTGTTGCCATTGACTTGAGTAGCATTAAGTTTGCAAATATTCTCATATGTAGAAGATCCTGTTTGGAAACTGTTGTCTGTTTTTGTGTCTTTTGCAACTAGTAAGATTACTATCATGAACTGTAGCAGTGTTTCCTTCTAACATTAATATTCCTTTTATTCAAGGTGAATCAATTCATATCTTTGCGGAGATTGAGAACTGCTCTTCCCGGATGGTGGTGCCAAAGGCTGCCATTTATCAAACACAGGCATTTTATGCCAAAGGGAAAATGAAGGAAGTGAAGCAGCTGGTTGCGAACTTGCGTGGGGAATCCTTGTCATCAGGGAAGACTGAAACCTGGAATGGCAAACAGTTAAAAATTCCACCCGTCTCCCCTTCAATTCTCGACTGTAGCATAATCCGTGTGGAATATTCACTAATGGTAGGAATTTAGTGTAGTTTCTTTAATATTCAGCGTATCAGAACTGATTTACTTTGAGCACAACCAGAAGGGGGAAGTTGGAGGGATCTAGTTTGTGCTTAGAAGGCCCGTTACCTTTAGTTTGAGCTATTTTATGTCACACTTAAGTGATTCTTCCATTCACATGGGGACATTTCTTCTCCTGTGAGAAGGATCCAGACAGTTCTTTGGATTGCTCTGATTTGTCTCCCTCTTGATTATTGACAGCCCCATCCCTAAAGTAAGTGACACACTACTGCAGCAATGAATCAGTCTAGCATGCTATACTGTACATATTATATGTAATGTACTGAAACACACCTGAAATGTATTAGAATTGTGCTGCGTCAGTTAGGAAAATATTAAAAACAACAAGAACAACAGAGGAGGGTTTTTTTCCCATCCTCCCTTTTAATGTTACAACCCATCACAAGCCTATCACCTCAGATAATACTGCCCACAGCTCTGTTTGGGTGCAAATTAAATCAACCGCTACAGAATAGGATAATCAGCAGCACTCCTAATTACAGCAAATAAATTGCAGTCCAACCCTATGTCAGAAAAGATCAGGGCAGCTTGTAAAGAGGGAGGGATGGATCACTTTTACTGAAAACACATGTGGGTGCCAGAAAATAGGGCAAACCAAACTGCACCAAAAGCAAAACAGCTATATGCCAGTGTGATCACCCTCTTAGTTGGTTTATAAAAGTTTTGATTGAGGTTCTCATAATTTCTTCTTTCTTGTCTTCTAGGTATATGTGGATATTCCAGGTGCAATGGACTTGTTTCTTAATTTACCACTTGTAATTGGTACTATTCCTTTACATCCCTTTGGCAGCAGAACATCGAGTGTGAGCAGTCAATGTAGCATGAATATGAATTGGCTTGGTCTGACACTGCCTGAAAGACCAGAAGGTAATTCGATTGCATAGATTCCATGTTTTGCAGACCTGTAATTCTGTTAGAGTGTACTAATGCAAATCTAGATAGTCATCTAAACAAAATTTATAGAAAGAACACTTCACAAAGGATCTCCTTGTTACCATTCCAAGTGAGGGACAATACAACTGCCTGTTTTCCCCCCTCACAAACCATGAAAATAGGACTAAGCTGTTGCTTAAGCCAGTGGTTCCCAACCGCAGACCGGTGGGTGGGTGTGGGTGGCATACTTGCGTGGGGCGTGCTGCGCTCATGGGGGGGCGTGCAGCGTTCACATGTATGTGCGGGGGAGCGTGTTGTGCTCGGGGGGGGGCAAGAAATCTGTATCCACTGCCCGGTCCTGCCTAGGCCACGGACCAGGGGTTGGGGACCCTTGGCTTAAGGGACTGAATGGTTGAAGGTCTATTTTATTTTGTTACATTTGTATTCTGCTTTTCCTCCATTATCTCCTCACAGCATCCCTGTGAGAGTAGATCAGGTAGAGAATAGCTGTTCCAAAATCAACCAGTGGGTTCCATGGCTCCGAGGGTACTGTAAACTAGATCTTGGTTCTAGTCTAACATTCTGGCCACTGTGGTGTCATAGCTGGCTGGTTCAGAAAAAAACTGCCAGTATCCAGGTGTATCTGCAGGTTCAGATCTCCGTGCCTCCATATTTATATATTTATTAAAATATATATTTCACACTTGTATCTCACTTCCAGTGAACTCAAAGCAGCATACATGGATTTCTTCCCTCCCAATTTATCTTCACAACATACTTGTGATATAATCAGACTGAGAGAGTGTGACTGGTCAAAGCCCAGTGGATAGATTTCATGGTTCAGTGGGGACTAGAGCCCAGGACTGGACTGACTTGCATTTTACACTTTGATTTTGGAGAGGTGGCAGTGGTTGCACTTAACTTCCCCTAATAAGAGAATGAGTGTAAGCAAGTGGGTAGTCTATGGCTAAACTTGATGGCAAAGCTGTTTTGGAGACCATTGACACATTTCTGGAACTCCAGGATAGTTAAAACTGACATAGCAATTTACCCTTTCTTTGTATCTACCTTGTGGAAATCATAACTAAAATTTAATATATTTGTCATGTTATATATCTTGACATGCATAAGAACATTGTTCGAACTGCGTGTACTTTTACCTTCAGCACCTCCTAGCTATGCAGAAGTGGTCACTGAGGAGCAGAGACAGTCCAACTTAGCTCCTGTAGCTGCTTGTGATGACTTTGAAAGAGCACTTCAAGGACCATTATTCGCCTACATCCAGGAGTTCCGATTCCTGCCTCCTCCACTTTATTCAGAGGTGAGTTTGCACATGAATATTAAACTTGCTTTCCGTTTTAAAAGCATTCTATTTTTGCACTTCCTGTTTTTTGTGGGAAGTGTCCCAGAACATACCAAGAGCAGCTAATGCAGTCTATACTGCACTCTGCATGGTCTTGTTCTGTAAATATTGGTCAGACTTTTGCAGACACTGTTAGCACTTGTTAAGCTAGCCAACTCCTTCAGATTTTCCCATACTAGATTAGCATCTTTTTGACAACCATCTGCTGCAGTGCATCTTTTACATAGCTAGCTCAGGAGGACAATATTTATTTGGAAGAACTGTTTTCATAACAAAAAGGTAGATTTTAGTTTGTAATTTACTATTTAATTGGCTTAGAGCAGTAGATAATTTCAACTTGTATAGAGTCCTTCCCCATAGCATGAACACTCTCTGGGCTGTTCACAGGACAACAAATCACATTATTGCATTACAAAATGCAATAAATACCATAAAATAAATAAAACACTCACTATCTAAAAACCGGTATTTAACTAGGAATCAACAATTTAAAACAAATACGGGCATCTCAGGTCAGTGGTTGAAAGCACTAATAAAAGGCAGCTTTAAATCTGGTTTGTTTTTTACTGATTTCCTGAAAACTAAGAGGGATGGTGCCTGACAAATCTCTGTTGGAAGCTTATTCCAGGGGCCACTAGTGAGAAAAGTGCAGTTCCTGGTGTTAACTCTTTCAGCCTCCTTAGATGTTGCTGTTTTTAACTTCATGGACTGTAAGGAGTGGGTGGGACAGGTAGCTGTTTAGTGGGAGAGACATTCTGACAAATATTGAGATCCCAGGCTGTTAAGGGTTTCATAGGTCACGACCAGCACCTTGAATTGGGTACAAAAATTAACGGAGCCAATGAAGGTGTGCCAAGACGAGATAATGAGTTTTTATCTGCTAGTATCTGTGATCAGTCTGGCAGCATAGAATGCTGATTTCTACTAGCTTAGCAGCAGAACACATAGAGGTTTGGGGAGGAAATCTACCTTTTCTACTGCAGTCTGAAATCCACCCCAAAACTTGCTCTGCAGTGCTAGTAAGGTTTCTGGCACTGGTCTGGAGATAGTTCTGAGGGCAAAAGGGGAAAGGAACTTCCATTGTGCTGGTCATATTCATGATGAAATTTCTTTTAATGCTTTAGAAAAATATTGATCGTTTTTTTAATTTAAAAAGGCAGTTAATTACCTTGTTTCCTGCCCCTTTCCCTTAGATTGACCCAAACCCAGATCAGCCTTCAGATGACAGACCATCCTGCCCCTCCCGCTGAAGGAATGCTTCCTAAGAAGAGTTGACTTGGGTCAGAATTGTATTTTCACAGTGATGGGAATAAAGTTGTCCCACAGAGAGACACACCTTAAAAGGAAGTTGTTGCCTGAAGAAAAAGGTGAAATAATGAAACAACCTGTGATAATGCTTTTGAAGCCTACAGCAAACATCATAGGACTGCTCTTCATGCTTGAAGACCTGAGCTTTCCCTCCGTTTATACCGGCACATGCTAAGAGCAGCCTTAATAGCCTACACTCGTGTGTCAAAACACTCATTGTGTTGCAAGAGGGGTGATTTCCTCTTTTGATTTGAAAATTTGCACATGCTCAATGCTTTTGTTGTGCGGTTCAGTGTCACTACAGCTTTTTCTCATTTATGTTGGACTGTTATTAACCCCTTCTGACTTGTTTGTGGTCCGCACAACAAGGAGCAAAAGAAAGCTTTGAAAACTTTGATGACAAATGCACTGATTTTTTTTTTATTTAGAAAACAAACAATAAAGAGTCTGGACTTTTTCTGCATATACATATGCTCAGAATTGTCCCAGTAAAACTGATCCATATATCACCTCTTCAGCTTGGATCCTGTTGTGGATTTATTACAAACATCAAATGCCTTCAAGCCAATCCTAGCTGTATGTTTTGCAGCCTACTGTAGTAGACAAGCAACAGATATACGGGGCAAAAAATAACAGAAGGAAACTAATAGGAGTCTCAGTCAAGATTGTATACATTCTTGATTCCTTTTTAAGAATTTGTTGCCTTTCTACTATTACTGCAAAGAAGAATTTTGTTACAGACTGCCTAAAATCACTTAATCTCAGGTGAACTCATCACTTGCCAAAATGTTGAAATGCTATTTGTTTATGTTGCACTGTTGAATTTTGTTTTTGTTTTTTCCTTTTCCTGTTTTTGTTACATGGCTTGTTTTAGTTGGAAAAGGGTGACTTGGGAAAGGGACATACACAAATGAATGCATCTTCATTTCTTATTGTCTTTCCAAACATTAGAACAGCCACAGGGAGGTAACACGCAGCAAATATGTCAGTTAAGAGTTACTGAGGAAAAGTTGTGTATTAGTCATATAGTCTTAGGACAGGGGTTTCTCAAGTCATTGGGGTAGGAAAAGTGAACTAATTTTTATAAGTACTTATTCCATGACTGTACATGTGCATGAAGTAGCATTTTCAGAAATATTTTCCACTAAGTACCACTTGGAATGTGTTCTCTCAAAGACTAAAGAAATACTGAGTGAAATTAGTAGCCAGCTAATTGGCACAAAATTGCTTTGAGTATATAATCTTGAGTGCGGGTTCAGCACAGATTACCAAGGGTCAGTTGGTGAATAATGTGTTTGAAGCCCTCAAATGCTGGTTTATCAGCATAAAAGATGTACATTAACGCACAACTGTCCTTTTCCGAAAGAAACTCATAGCTGATTTTTACCAAAACCACCCATCCTTGTTCCAAATGGCAACAGTGTAGCTGTTGTACTGATTAATCCTGTGTTTTACAGCCTGACTGGTTTAAGGTTTGCTTTCTCCTAGGTAAAACTCCACTGATTCACATCTGTCTTGCTGTTGAGGCTTTGTAACAGGATAGGCTTTTCCATAAGTGGCCTTTAAGAAAACATGGACAAGAATTCATGTTTGAACAATAACAGGGTGAAAAATAAACAGTATAAAAACGAGTCACGTTTTATGTGATTCTGTTATAAAGAGTTTCGCCTTCAGCAAGCAGACTTTATGTACTCGATAATAAAATAATTGAGTGATGGAACTTACGTTTTAATTTTGCTAAGCAATTTTGTGAATGTCCCTCTTCCACAGAAGATTTAATTTAAAATGTGGGAATGTGGCATAAAAGGGCATTTGGTGATTCTATTTGGGGGGGGGGTTGTTTTGTTTTTTGGGGTTTTTTGGTGGGAAGGGCTTAGTTTTTGTTTCAAGCAACTAGGGAACAATTGCTGTTGCATAGCATTACATTTATCACCATATGATGGATGTTTCCAAATGAAGTGGGATTGACCAATATTGCAGTAATTGGCATTGCCTCACATTTTGTGAGCTGGTTAAAAATGTAAACACTATTAAACATTTTTTTTAAAAAAATCTATTCTGTGGCATTACTGTTATTTCTGATTTCATAAAATATTGGTCAGTTTCTGGACATTGTAAAATAAAAGGTTCAGAAATACTAGTCCAGTACTTAAAATATCTCTTGTTTTTTTTAAAAAAAGGGGGGTAGAAATGAGTAAAATCCAAAATGTTAGAAAAAAACAACAAAGTGCAATATTTAATGTTTGCTTTATAGGTTATATTCAGTAGCTGTTTGTATTATATTTTCTTTTTTATTTTCTTTTTTTCAGTTTGGTGCTGAATATGTCCTTGTAGACTCTTGTTTCAAAAAAAAAAAAACGTGGAAAACAATTTTTCCTATTGCTCTTCCTTGTGGATAATAAAACTTTTTTTTACAAAAAATCATTTGAAGGGTTTTATATAAAGAAACTGAAAGCAGTTGGTTTTATTATAAATTTGGGTTGTGTCCAGCCCACTACAGCTGTAAAGCTTGTAGGAACAGGGATCACCATGAGCAGTACAGCCAGAACCATTTAAAAAAAACTGATACAGGCAATAGCACATGCTAGAAATCACAACAAAGCAATGTACAAGAATCAAGACAAAAAAAGTAGACCCTGCTGACCAAGTAAAATGTAACAAGTGATCCTGAAAAAGGACAGCTTCCTTGTGATTCCAGACACTGGGAGTTCAATTTCTCACTATGCATCCTGGAAAAGCCAGCCTGTGTGGCCTTGGGCAAGCTGCACAGCCCCAGGACCCCCCCCCAAAAGGAATGGTAAACCATTTATGAGTATGCTCTACCTAGAAAACCCCGAAAAAGGCTCACCATAAGTAAAAGTTGATGACCTTATGGTACAAAATTATTTTCTTGTAAATAGCTTTATGTCATATAGTTGGCAGGAAATACAGTAATTCAAAATTGAAAGTGCTTGATACAGTATAATTGCAGCATAGTTAAGCCCTGAATTCTTACCTGTATTCACTGCTGGAGATAAAGAGCAAATACGTGAGCCTGAAATGGTCTTTCAGGGAGGTGGGAATTAGGAGCTGAACAAATAAATGGTGACAAGGGAAGAGAAGTAGTTCCACACTGTTTAGACAAACTACATGGCCCACATGGTGTGCAGGTGAGAGTTCTCAATAAGTTGCAGATCTAACAAAATTGATGGTGCCCCCTTTAAATCAGTCTGTGTACCAGAAGGCTAGAGAGTGGCCAGTGGCATCCAGAGGTGTCTGGGAAATTATAGACCACTTAGCTTAACATTTGTTCCAGGTAAATCTGTGGAAAGTGTTGTTAAAGAGAAAATTTCCAAGCTTGTAGAATGGCAAGCCCTGCCAAAAAAGAGTCAACGTAGCTTCTGCAATGCTAAATCCTGTTTCGCTAATCATTTAGCAGTCTTTGAAAGTCAATAATATGTGGATAGGAGTGATCTGACATGTTCATTTGGATGTCCAACTGACTTTTGAGAGAGTCCCTTATCATGTCTGGATTACTTTACAATTTGTTCACCAGACCCCGGAAAAGAATATTGAACAGCTGGAAAAGGGCCAGAGAAGGGCAAGCCAAATAATCAATATTGCTATGAGCAAAGGTTACATCACTTGGTTCAGATAAAAGGCAAGGAAGGGGAAAACATGTTACACCAACTTAAAAAAAATATACATGGTGGCAAAACAGATTGGGAAGCACTGTTGGCCTTCTCATAGTCTTAGTCATCAAGTGAAGCTGAACAGTGGGAGGTAATGGGAAGTATTTCATAGCTCATAGCTGTGGAATTCACTATCACACCATAATGTTGTGAATGGTTACCAGTTTGGATTAGGCAGGCTTAGAGATGGGCATTTCCTGTGCTTTGCTGTGGTTCAGCGGATCAGGCCCACAGGTGTTGCATGAGCACCCGGATTCCACATCTTGCCTCTTTCTGTGAGCACCCACTCAGAGGAGGAGCAGCAGCAAGGAAGCATCTGGCGCTGCTTCTGATGGGGCACCTGCAAGAAGAGTTGGGGGGGTGCTGCAGGGCATGGGATCCAGGGTGCCCATGTGGGCCTGATCCACCAAATTGCGCTGAAGTATCAAACCGCAGTAAGAGCCATCTCTAGTTAGGATTAGTATTCCAGTTCAGAAAAGGAGTGCCAAATGGAAGTGGGCTTGTCCACAAAAACTCACATTAGCAGTTTGTCTTTAATGTGTCACAACATGTTTGTCTTTTTTTTTTTTTTTGCCTGATATGCTAGCAGAGACTGACACAACTACTTCTTTGTAGTCTCTATGTTTCTTTATTAGAACTGAGACAATCACAAGGATTTATCCTTGGCACAGGGGATTATCTTTGGCTCCTCAAAGCTCAAAACACCACCCTTGATGGCAAGAGAAGCAATACCACTTGCTCCTTTTAGAGATTTGCTCAATGATGTGAGAACTGTCTGTTTTGGAAAACACATTTTGTCCCAGAACTTATTCAGTCTCCCTGGCCTTTCAGACTGAAAGGGCAGCCTTAACTCCTATCTCAGTTCAAAAGTTCATCCTGAGGGTATAAACAGGGATCCCTCTTCTGACTCAAGATCACCACAACTTTCTCCCTTCTCTCGTCCTACAATCCCCGATTCCCCTCACTGTCTCTCACTCAGGCAACAAAATGTTCCTCCTTCCCTCACCAACATGTCTGCTGTTCACAGACTTTTATCAGTAACTTCCCCTTCTTTTCCACCTACCTCTTTTCTTAGCTGACTCTCTGTTCTTTTCCATGTTTACTGAAAGAGGGGGCTCCAGGTTTCATTCTTTTGCAAGAAATCAGGTGGATCTTTTCAGAAGAGGAAATTGGCCTGATACAGTAGTGTGAATTTCAGATGAACTCTTCCCAGCCGGATTTGGCTGTGGAAGGTTTCTTGACAGCCCTTCAGACCATGCAAAGGAAAAAAATGTTTTGTATAAGTGATAGAGTACATCAGCACTGGTCTATTATATGCAAAATTCATTTCCACTGCCTGTCTGCCAAGGAGCAAAGGAAGTCCTCCCTTTGCTGACACCCCAAAGTGGCTCACTTATTAACCTGCTTCACAATTATCAAAAATTCAAACTGAAATAAGACTTGACAGCCAGGAAGCTCTCTTGCTGTCCATTTCCGCCAATCACATGCACTGGAAGCAGACCAAACCAGAACAATCCTACCTGCATTTTTAAAAGTAGAAGCTCTTGACAGGGCTCAGGAAGGAATATTTTGGAGATTATTGGGTTCACTCCAGTGATTACATTGTGTGATTGCCTGGAAAAGAAGTGACCCAACCTTTCCCTGCAGCAGACCAAACAGTGGGCTAAATGTGCCACTGATGGCAGCCCAGCAGTTTTAAGATCCCCAAATGAGCCTGATTGGCTCTCTGTGAAGTATTGGTGATGTTAATTCTAACATCATTGACTACCATTGTCCTGAACTTAACCCTTTCCTTGCAAATCTGTAACCAGAGGAGCAAATAATTTTTCTTTATGTTTCCACTTAGTGGCATGGGTGAACCTGTTGCGGTGGCAAGGATGAAAACATGCCTCTCGGTTTCAGGAGTAGACATGTTTGAATGTCATTCAAAGGATCACACAAACCTTCCCCTTGATGTGTTGCCAGCCCCCTGCCTTCTCGAAACCTGTCTTAGTGCTTTCTTGGTCCACTTGCAATAATCCATGTAATAAGCAGTACAGGGAGCCATGAAGAAAGTGTCATAATGGAAAGTTGTGGCCATATTGAAAAGATTGCTGGCACAGCAATGCCTTGCATATTTATTTAGAAGTAAAAAAACAACAACATTAGGTTCAAACAAGTCTCCTGCAGCTGGTAAGAGCGATACGATAAGTAGTTCAGCAAGTGAAGCTTTTCCTCACATGCAGATGCAGCCATAGCGGTCATGAGCAGACCCCTTCACAAATTTCTGTTCCAAAGCTATTAAGGCCATACAGTAGAAGGCTGCCTGCCAAAAGGAAAAATTGGCAGTGCAAAGTTCACTAGAAACAAAACAGAACAAAATAACTCCCAAACACTTCATGAGAGAAGATCTGTTGGATCAGACCAAGGACATCTGTAATTTAACATCCTGTGTGCTGCAGCTGCCAGCCAGATCCATCTGGGAAGTCAATACGAGCATGAAGGCCAATAACCCTTTCCCCCCAAATTGATGAATACAGCCTCAGATTCTGAAGTGTGATGTGGCCGTAAAGTCATTGCGAGTCCTGTTCTTCTTCCTTTCTCTGGTACAGAGATAAGCAAGCAACACACTGCTCTTGGCCTGGGTTTTACCCACACACAGAGACACACACAAATACTGTTTTTGTGGTCACTGCTTTCTTCCATCACTGTCACTGCCAAATTCTCCAACATACGCAGTGGAGAAGTTAGAAAACTCCAAGATTTCCTATAACGGAAGGCACACGGTAAGAGCATGTCTTGTTTTCAAGAAGCATCCACATTCCTCCCAGGAATGCAATTCTGTTTCAAAACAAGTTGTGATGGGGGAGCACATCTTGTTTCAAAGCAGAAAGGGCCCCCTCCAAATTTCAGTGGGTGTAATTGGATTCCTAATCCATCATAGTTGTGCATGTGTGATTTAATGGAACCTGGATTGCAGAATTTATATTTCCTCCAATGCTTGGCAATACTACCTGAAGGATCAATTCGTTGGCCAAGAATGAAAATGTTATTAAAGCCATTTATAGACATTCAATATAGCCCAGAGTGGGTGGAGAATAACCCTACAAAAGAGAAAAGATGACTTGATCTTACATGAAGCAAAGAGATAACTTTCTAATCCCACTGTTGTTTTTTTAAATAGCTGCCTAGGAGTTTACAACAAGATGCAGATGCTGAGTGGTACCCTGTGTGGATAGAGTGATGGACTAGGACTCAGGATGTCTGGCTTTGAATCCCTACTCAGCCATGAAAACTCACTGGAGATTGCTATATATCAATTCCTACTTAATGCCATAAAGCTCTTAAATGTAAACAGATAGTGAAACCAGTTTGTCTCGTTTCAACATAATTCACCTTCAGACAGAGGTTGCCTTAATCCAAGTAAGAGAATTCTGATTACAAAGAAATTAGAAATGATCTATGGAAAGGTAAAGAAGAGAGTAAAAATCCCCAGTTGCTATCTCATCAGAAAAGGATGGTGCTACTTCCAGTTTCTGGAAATGAGCATAGAAAAGAGAAAAAGAAGTAGAGGCAGTGGATTGAGCAGGAGCTTCATTATAGGATTTTGGTCTGTTTATTACTGACACAAAACATCATTCTTGCAAGTTCAAACAAGGACTCTCTGTGCTGGGACACTGTGTTGTGTTTTTTAACCTTATAAGAAGATGTTTTCTTTCCTTAGCACATAGATCTTTCTAAATATGGTGACATTTCTAATAAGGGGCAACAAAAGGGGTTATTTGAAGAGGCTGGGAATTTTGCCCTCCTAACAAAGCATGTGGCATTCTGTGTATGTTTTGGGTTTTGGACTTTTTGATTGCTCTGATTTGAGGTAAAATATTGATAGCAATGGGAGGAAAAATCTTCTGGTGTCATTGTCTTCTTGGTGTTGTTCCATCTCCTCCTATAGAGTTCAGAAGTTGAGTGGGGGGGGGAGAGAGAAAGTCCCCGTGAAGCACCCTTTAAATGCCAACACTTTAACTTTTTTGGAAGGGTTAAATAGGGATTGAGCAGCCAGAAGAACAAAGAAAATGCAGCCAGTTGGATTAGCAATGGCCCATTTGTGTAATGCAAGGCAATGATTACATGCAAAGGTAACTGTTTACCATGTCAGTTTTTCTTATGTTGAAAGGCAGCAGATGCCAGGTGTCAAGCCTCAGTGTCACTCAAGCAGACCAAAGAGGTTGGAAGTAGAGTTGCATAGTTAGACAGGTGTTGGATTGTATAGTTGCTTGTTCACTATTGAAAACTGGATTGAGTAGAAGCATTATATACATTAAAAAGCTTCTGTTTCCAAACCCTGTTTCTAAGGATTCCAAAATCCATTGTGCAATAATAGCTTTACTGGGCCAACCAAATATGTGCAATCTTTTGAGAACATCAGATCTCTTCAAGATGTTACCAAAGAAAATCAGGCAGAGAAGGAAGCATTAATCTTAAAAGTCATGTGATTTTAATGTTGTTCTGAGATGTAATGGAGAGGAAGTATCTATATACTCATAAATGGGGCTTATATATACTCATAAATGGGGCTTATTAGGTCATGTGATGATATGAGGGTGACCACAGAATTCCCTCTAACATGGCTGAGAGCAAGAAATACAATCTCATCCTTTCCCTTCTTGTCGTTCATTCATTCCTTTCTCAGCACAGGTCACTGAGTGACTGGGATGGAGATAATTTTAGAGACCAGATTAAATGCTGAAAATCAATAGAAGCCACATTGGGCAAGTTTACCTAGTGACTGGAGGGAGTGAATCCTTATAGAATGAAGTCCTCATTTAGGAAGCATGACATGACTTTCAAGTCTCCCCACTTCACACCTCTTCCTTCCCTGCTTGCTTTCTTGGCAATAGGGTGCTAGAAAGTCTCAAAAGCTTGTGTGTCTTTTTGTGACTTTTGGGGTTGGCATAATAAAGCTATTAACACAATACGGTCTTGGGTGTGTGTGTTTGTTTTCATATCCAACATGGCGAACACTCCCTGTCATGTGAGCTGCACAGAATTATCTCCTCATACTTTCTGATTTGGACGAAGCCTGTGGTCACAGTCTGTCTACTGCATTGAGGTCGGCAAAGGAAACGTTTGAGCATGTCCTCATAGCCAGGGTCACGTATCTGTTTACTTAGACTGGCTTCTTCAAAAGTATTCACAGCTGACATTTCTCTGTTTCAGAACCTGGTTGCTTCTTATAGTAAGTGGGAAGGTGGAAAGAGGATTAGATCACTTCATATATTCAAATAGACAGCTGAATGGCTCTTGCACATAGACTAAAAATGAAAATCCATGTTTCCCTTTTGGTTCTGTCTCACCTGTAAAGATTACCTGTATCAGGTCCAGATGGTACAATCCTTAGTGCATATACATGAAGTTACTCTAACCTCTGTTGGTGTTATATTGCTTGTGGCAGCTCATTCATGCAAAAGTAACCCGGAGATATGAGAGCCATTTGCTAAAGCATCTTCATGATGTCATCACGTGTCTTCTGCTTACTGCTGATGTTTGGCTCTGTTTTCACATGGAGCTGACAGCCCTTAGTTCAGCTGATTGGAAGAGTAATCTTCACTGATGCCGCATGGAAAGTTTTCAGTCCACTGAGATGTGGTTTCTATTGCATGTATCCTGGAAAAGGTGTTTTAATTTTCAAAATAACTTGAATTAGCTTGAAATAAAGACATATTACTCTATGAGTAGAATTCAGCTATGGAGGCAGAGAATGTACATAAAAATCTCATGTTTACTGTCACAGGAGGGCAAGGCTCGAAGGATTGTATCCAGATTTAGGCATGTGTGACTGGGATGGGGAAAAAGGAATTACCTTGACCTCTACACCCTACTTAACTAGATCCTTGCTGGCCATGCTCCCTTGTATTGCCACACCGAGAGAGGCCAGAAAGATTTCCACCAGAAATTGAGCCTTCTCAGTTGTGGCACCAGCCCTCCAGAATGGGCTTCTGGTTGAGCTGCTCATGGTCCCCTTTCCCTCTCAACCTTCAAGAGACTCCTGAAGACAATTCTCTTCAGGTTTTCAGGTCATCCTTTCATGATGACTGCCAAATTGTGCTTGCCTGTCCACCTATTGTCTGATATTGACTTATTTTTATGTTTATTGATTTGATATACTTTATTATAATTCCTTTATTATTGTTACACTATATTACTTGCATTGTTAACCATCTAGAATAGTGTTTTGCACTAATCAGGTGGTACAGAAATTCCATAAATATATGAATAAACAACTCTCCAGTCTCCTGAAATCAGAATTTAGAAAAGTTACCTTTTGGCCTCCAACTTTCAGAACCCCACAGCCAGGGATCATACTGGCTGGGGGATTATGGAAGTTGGAGGCCATCAAATGTACTCTAAGCTGTATTTGAAATTGGAGGTTGGAGAAGCTTCTGAAAGAAGAGGGATTCAGTTTTAAGGATTCCCTTTCTCCCACACTCCCTGTATGACAGTTCCCCCTACTATTAGGCAAGGTCTTCTGGCTCTCAGCATAGCATTTGTAGGTGGCTGGAGGGTTGTCATGGGAAGGATGGGGCAAGGAAATCTGCTTCTGCCAGCCCAGTAGCTATGCTAAGTATAACCCACACCATCTCATATCAACCTCAAAACTATGTGGAACAAAACAGTACAGAACTGGCACAAAACTGTGACAAGTTTGGGGGAGACA